GAGGAATGACGCGTGCGTTGCAGACGGACGCTGGGACTTCGCGATCAGCGATGGCGAGCAGCTGCGAACGGGCGCGCGAACAGGCAGCACGCTAGGACTTTGCGGACGTTGCTGGGTATCGCTGGTGGTCGCGGACTAGGCTTGGCTATGCGCGACTGCTCGCGGTGGCGTGCGGTTGCGCTCGGCTGACTTATGCGGCGGTTGGCGGTTTCCGACGGCTTCTCACGGCGGCGGACGGTGGTGATGAGATGGTGATGATGACCGGAAATATATGTATATTAAAGGCTCCATATATGGCAACAAAAAGCCTTCTAACGGATTACCTAAACACTTACTTCGATTAAACTTGGTGGAACGTTTAATCGAATCTCCCTAACTCTCCAACCATGTAATATCTCGCGCGTATGTAGGAGAAAATTGGCCAACACAAATGATCAACAAGAAGTTGAGGCTTGGTGTATTTATAGGCTCCATTATGGACCTTAAGGAGGTGCTAATTATGGGCTTATCCCATTAAGCCTAGGAATTCTAATTCTAATCCAATACTAATTCAATGTAGGAAGGACATCTCCTACTAATCTAACTCTTCTAGAAGACTCCTTAGTCTCCTAACATTAGAGAAGATCCTAGTAGGAATATATTTCCTACTTAAATTAATAATCATGGAGTAAAATTAATTCCTAATTTAGGAAAACTAATCTTACTCCAATTAATAATATAATGTAGGAAATATATTTCCTACTAATCTTCATCTTCTAGAAGACTCTCTTATTCTCCTAACACTAGAGAAGATTCTAGTAGGAATATTATTTTCCTAATTAAATTAATTAATATGGAATAAAATTAATTCATATTTAATGGAATTAAATAATAAAATATCCCACTAGAATAATATTATTGCTCTCCCCATTTAGCCACTATTTTACAAATAAAATTGAGCATCCATGATTAAATAATATTAATCCGATTGATCGATTTACCTCCCTATGTTTAAGATATAACGTTTGTTGATTAATTAAATTACTGACAAAATAATTAATCAACTTCTTATTCATTTCCAAAATTAGTACAACTCAGAACCTTTACCATTATGTCAGACAATCGTCTACCTGCAAGGTTTAACATAATGTATATTCCTGAGCTCATTTCGAGAACATCATCAATCCAGCGCACTGGAACATAGTGACCATAAATAATTTATAATAGCACATCATATAATTATTCTTACTTACCAAATTACCTCGTATGTCATCCTAATAAAATAGAAATCACTTGGTAAATCAAATAAATAAGAGATTGTTGTAATATAGATTGTCAATATATAAGATAGACAAGATAGACAAAGAGAGAAAGTAGTAGAAGAGAAAGAGAGAGAAGAGATACACCGTAAAGTCATCATCTTATTCATTCACTTGAGCCCTATATATAAGAGAATACAATGTACATGAGTAAAGACCTAATGGGCTCATGGCCTTTACCTACAAATCCTATATCTAGGTAATGTCCACAACTTAATATTTACAACACTCCCCTTGGACATTACCGCATCATGTCTATGCCTCGTTAAAAACCTCGCTACAAAACCCTGTAGGAAAAAGCAGTCAAGGAAAAGAGTACATGACATATGAAAATTTATGTGTTACACTTGTTGCCTCGTTAAAAACCTTACTAAGTAAAACCAAATAGGGAAAAGACTTAGTCAAGGAAAAAAGAGTACAACGCCGACCAACATGGCCTAATTTTCAGGATTATAATTAGCCTTCCAGGCTCGATCTTCGAGATTTATTTATCGCCCCCCTGAAGGGAAAGTCTTTCTAGTTACATTCATAATTCTAGTCTGCTCCCCCTCAAGGTAAGAGTTTCTAACATAAAATCGTCATTTGTTGCTCTTCCGGAGTTAATATGGATTCAAAGATATCATCAAATGTATTTCGATAATTTATTTGTGTAAAACAAGCTATATTATCTTCCAGATAATTATGGAAAAATTCAATAAAAGTGATAAATGGTTAATACCATTTTAGAGGTATATAACCAATCCAGAACCCAGTACTTCGGGGATCAATTATACAATTGATGTCCTTATCCACCAATATCATATATCAAGTCCAAAGATAACTCAACATACATGAAAAATAATGGGATATTCTCAATATTTATCACGAAATCTCTCTAAGGAGAGATTTAGTAAATCTTGCTAGAAAATTCATCACAAATGCAGTATCAGACCTGATGCAGTTTGCGTGATAAAAGTTCTGCACAATTACGCTTAGTAAATAAACTTCAGGTCGTTTGTGGACTTCAAGTCCATTGGAACTTCAGGTCCTATAATATCCTCATTTTTTTCTTTGGATCTTTATCAACTTCCAAATATTTGACACTCATTAATGTTACAATTTTACATCTCTAAAAGAGATTCGAGTAGATTGGTTGGGTAAAAAATATTTCTTCTAGGAGATGCTCGATCTACAAGTCGAGATTATACTCTTTGGTATTTAACCAAAAGTTTCATTGTTACTCCGTCTATAAGCATGAGCTAGCTTATTTAATCTTTTACATAGTGTTCACCACATAATCTATTTGACCGAGATTATCATTATACATAAGGTTCTACCTTGAATTACTTACTTTACTTCTTCAGGAAGAATTTAGTTGGTTGTACGACATCTTACCAACATTTTAAATAATTAAACTATTTATTTTTTCATTATGTTTCATCTCGGGTATTCGAGTCCATCCAGGACTTTCACATATGACTCAATAGTCATGGTAATATTACTGCCATAAATATTAACTTGCGGAATCATTGATAATGAGAGAACTTATCTAAATAAATATTTGGGTCTCTGCA